GTGAGCTCTGGAGTTGTCTTGCCCGGTTGTGTGGAACACAGCAGATGTGCTCACTTCTCCCCTGGGGATGCCTTCTCTCTCCCTCTCTCTCTCTCTCTCTCTCCCTCCTCTCTCTCTCTCTCTCTCTCCCCTCTCTCTCCCTCTCTCTCTCTCTCCCTCTCTCTCCCTCTCTCTCCCCTCTCCCTCTCTCTCCTCTCTCCCCTCTCTCTCTCTCTCTCTCCCTCTCTCTCCTCTCTCTCTCTCTCTCTCTCTCTCTCTCCCTCTCTCATCAAGCTCCCTCATCCGTGCAAACCCTCCAATGTTTATACACGGCTGCTCCTCACATAATAACTTGACTATCTCAGTACTCTTCCCCTTTCCTTCCTTCCTTTGCTTACTTATTCCCTCCTCTCCTCTATGTCTCTCCTTACAGTCTTCTGTACATCTCACTACATGACACATTTCACTGACTGTGATTTGATTTTGCTGGATGTAACACATTCAAACACAAGTAAGTCCTCCATTGGAGTGCTTTGTTTACTTAATAATGTACATCACTATGTAACACGTGTGCTTCTATTGGCTAGCGCTTAGAAATACACATATTGTTTTTCTATGATATGCAGCTATATCAATGTTATCTGACTGCTGTTGGTCATAGCTGATAAGTTTCGCAGTTAGGCTCAACTTGCTAAATGTGAAATAGAAAGCTTAATTTACATACCCAGTCAGTTTGGCAGTCTGGCGGACAGAACATTGAATTATAACTATTCAATAAAAGACTGTGGAGGAAAATAAGATTGGATAAACAAATAAAACATTAATTTGGTGCCATGGCTTTTGGAAATTAGCTGCATAATATTTCCCCAATGTTTTTGTTTGTCTTGATGCTAGCGCCATCTTTGGTCTTAAAATGTCAGGTGAGGGATGTTTTGAAAGTAATGATGGTATTTTCTATAAAGAATAAATGGCATCACATTGTTTGAAAAAGGAGTTGAAAGGTATTTAGAGCAAATCCAAAAAGCTTTCAAGATTTGCTTTAGGTTGAATGACTTTAATTAAGTTTCAGTAACAAGCTCACTTTATACCCTTCTTTTCATGTATCTCTCGTAAAGACACACACACACACACACACACACACACACACACACACACACACACACACACACACACACACACACACACAGCTCCTTCAATGAGCCTGCTCGATGTATATAAGTCTACTTAGTCCCAACTAGGCCACAGCATCACATGAGCAGTTAGTCACACCATAAATCACCGGTTCCTGCCGATCCCTCCCTGGATTTCTGCTGCTATTTTCAGTCAGGGAAACGGCAAAGAAATGGAAATATTCATGCTTTAGAAAAACAAAAAAGGGAATATTCTTATGCAGTTATGAGATCGCATTATGTGCTGTTGTCTCCTCGGCCCAGATAAAGAAAGAAAGAGGGAAGAAGAGGAGAGGGAGAACTACACTACAAGTGTGGATAATGAAAACTAAACACCATCAGTTTCTCTGTCTCCTTTCTCATCTGCTCTGCTCCACTAGCTGTCTGTATGCGAGTCAGGGGATTTGAACAGTGTGTGTGTGCGTGCGTGCGTGCGTGTGCGTCCTGCATTCGTGTGTGAGTGAATAGCAACGCAGTGGGTTAATCTTTTAAAAATGTGTTGAGAAAAGTCAGCTCTAGTTTTTCCACGAGCCCTGCTGCAGATTGGACCGTGGAGGGAACATTTGTTGATCATCTTTGTCCAGATTGGCACTCCCTCAACCAGTTAGACAAACCCGATATCAATCACATGGACTCAGCTGTTTGATCACAGGATCAATAACTGGGTTTACAAGGAGGCTAATATTCTTTTAACAGTGTGAGTGATAGACTAATCTGAGTAAAAAGCCTCATTTAGGCTTTTATTAAAATGCAATCTATACCAGGACGTGCAGCACAGATTAAAAAAATCACACCAGCAGATTTAAACCATTCATGAGCTTTCTTACGCATTCTGTCCACGTCGCATCCCATTTTCCATTTGCAATACGGTCAGCCTCTAAATCCCTGTATTGTTGTGCGAAGGCGGCCTGTACAGCCCAGATTGAGCTGCTCTCCTCTTAATGATGCATGTAGGAGTCCTTTAACAATCTCCAGTCCAATTAAGGCAAAACACAATTCAGGCGGTTTTCCAAAACAGGATTTTCTTAATTAAAAAATAACCATTCTTAATTGGATTTCTATCGAAGAAGTATATGAAAACAAACTCTCGGCTCTATCAAAAACCTAATTCTAAGACTCAAAGCACTTCGAAGCCGTTAGTTTGCTTTATTATTTATAAGATTGTGATTGTGCAGATGCTGGATTATGCCTCCATCTGTATTCATCAATAACCTTTAAAACTCCAGATTCTGCCTTCCCTCTGCAGTTAGATTTTAAAAAGTGTCTATTTCTGCACACGTCACTGCACTGCTCATCAAAACAAGGGCTGGGAGGGCAAGTGCAATATTGCTTTCTTGTTTATTTGCACAGCTTCTTTTTTGTAAATAGACGACAACCTTATCTCCCTTCTGACATGCAGATCTGGAACATTTCAGCCCGCCTTCTTCTGCAGGTTGTTAGAGTAAACACAGAGCTTGGGAAGCTTTCTGTTCTGCTGGAATCATTAAATAACATCTTGAAGCTGTGCCGTGGGCAGTCTCAACAAACTCATTAAGACATAATTAGTTTGAAAAAGTGCTGTTTTTATTTTTTAACCTTCAGTCACATTGTGTTGACAGCTTCATTATTTGTTGTTTTGTTTCTCATCGAGTATAAAATGTCAATTATTGAACAAGATACTTTACTGTGGTGGTCAAACCTATATCAGCAGAGGTGTTAATTGGCTCAAACTTAATATGTTTGCCACTTGAACTGATGTAGTTAGTTTACCATCTGCAAAAATAGATACATAAAGCTATAGTGGCTTGCTTGCAAAAACGTCAACCTGCATTAACCCTCCTGTTGTCTTCGGGTCAAATCTGACCGATTTACTGCTTTCATCAATCGTAACTTTTTTGTTTTACATTCGATTGCATTAAGGCTTCATGATATCCTTCAGTAGACATTTGAACATATACAATTGCTGATCACCACTTTCATTGGATTTTGGATGATTTAGTCAACTTTGTAACACCCATGGTGTTCCCGGTCAAAAATGACCGCCATAAAGAAAAGGAATTAGTTACCATCCGGATCAGATCAAACACACACACAAACATCCACACACACATACTCTAGATGTGTTCCCCCCCTTATGTGCCCAATCCCCCCATGTGAATCACACACAAACACACACACAGAACAATTTGACACATTTCCCGCTCTTATGTGCCCATCCCCCCACATGGATCACACCTGGCACACGCAATACATGTTCAGTGTCTGTTCTTTGTATATTTACTGCAGTTTCTCATGTGTACCAGTAGTCTGATGCAATATTTACAGTTTGAAAGGGTGTTAAATTAAATTTGGTGATGATTAATGGTTTTTGTGTTAATGTATTAGCAGTTCAAACAGGACCGCGAACACCAAAGTAAGGGGGGGAAACGAAGACAATAGGAGGATAACAGACACTCGTACGAGGCGAGCAGGGCAGCGGTGTGTAGGGGGGGGGGGTCTTTTTAAAATCGCTTCCCGAATGGCCACAGCTCCCCAAAGGTGTTATTGGCTCCATTCGGTCGCAATCAACCTCCCTGTGCTTCCCGTGGCAGATGTGCGTATTTTCGTGCACGCTCTACCGTCGCGCGGCCGGCAGATGCCGACAGATGCCGAGCGTGTGTCAAGTGAAGCGTCCTTTAACTGATTTTGTTAGCCACATGGGGGCAGTGCCACAAGTTGTAAACATTCAAATGTTTCATCGTTAGCATTTCCTTTCACTCATGTGTCTGCCCACCTGGCTAATATACATAAATTCCATCAATTGTTTTTTTCTCAAACAACTCTCTGGCGTTTTATCTGCGAAATGCTTTATTCACAAGCTAGCTGCTGGTTCTCCTGTTCAGCTTTGTAGTCCAGGGCAGGTGCATGGGGTTTATTTCAAAGCGTTTCCATTGAAAAAATAGCTACATGTGGCCTGTTGAAAGGACGCTGATGAGAGTGTTTAGACCGAACAAAATAGGCATAATTGTGTTTTTAAAAATGCTAAATAGAGCTGAGGGGAACAGTTAATGCATACTTTCTCATTTCCATATTTAAACAGTACATTTCAGATATTTTTACAGTCCGTTTTTCTGGTATATTTGACAGGTTGTTTTGAAGTTTCTCACCAATGTTGGATTACTGTAAATGGTGTTAGATTGGAGCTCTCACAGGTTGTGGGTCTGGAAGCTGTGTGTGTGTGTGTGTGTGTGTGTGTGTGTGTGTGTGTGTGTGTGTGTGTGTGTGTGTGTGTGTGTGTGTGTGTGTGTGTGTGTGTGTGTGTGTGTGTGTGTGTGTGTGTGTGTGTGTGTGTGTGTGTGTGTGTGTGTGTGTGTGTGTGTGTGTGTGTGTGTCGACTGTGTACAGAGCGAGCAGAATGGATGACATTAAGCTAAAGGTGGCAGCGGTGGAGTGGGCGAGGCTCACTGGTGCGAATAAGCCGAGACGTCAACCAATGTGTGAAATGTTCTTCTCAGCTTTGATTCTGTCATCTGTCAACAGATCAGTGGGGAGGAACCCAGCTACTTTGCAGCGAGTGTATAATCAGTGATGTGACGAAGCCTGTGTGTGTGTGTGTGTGTGTGTGTGTGTGTGTGTGTGTGTGTGTGTGTGTGTGTGTGTGTGTGTGTGTGTGTGTGTGTGTGTGTGTGTGTGTGTGTGTGTGGTGTGTGTGTGTGTGTGTGTGTGTGTGTGTGTGTGTGCATGTGTGTGTGTGTGCGTGTGTGTGTTGTGTGTGTGTGGTGTGTGTGTGTGTGTGTGTGTGTGTGTGTGTGTGTGTGTGTGTGTGTGTGTGTGTGTGTGTGTGTGTGTGTGTGTGTGTGTGTGTGTGTGTGTGTGTGTGTGTATTTTCTCCAGATGTGTTGGACAGCATGGCGAGGTTCAGCGTTCAGGGAGTGTTCAACTACAGCATGCTGACGCTGTCCGACCACGAGAGGGTTTTATACGTCGGAGCACGGGAGACCTTGTTCGCCCTCGACCCGAACAACATCAACAGACAGCTGCGGCCTCAGGTAACACACCCAGATTTCATTTATTGTTTCTACCTTTTCTTTTTTTATTGACCTGGTTTTTCCATCCATGTAGTTTGTTCAACACTTATTTCTTTAAAGTCAAAGTCAACTTTATTGTCAATCTTTCAGGTTGTTTGTACAGACAGAGAGATCGAAATACCGTTTCCCACAATCCCAAATACAAAAATACAAATATATATAAAAATATGTATACAATATGTATATCCTTTACACAATCAACAGACACATTTATACATTAAGATACAAGCACAACAATCAATACATACAAAATACAGGCAGTATAAGTCGAACCAAACTTGGAAACATGCCTTATTGATTCCTTAAATCTGAAATAATATACAGTTTATATGTATATTATTTTATACATAAGAAAAGTTAAATAATTAAAAATATCTAATACATTTCAAATACATTTAAGATACATTTAAATACAAAAGCAAATACATAAAATAGGGAGAAATAATAATAATAATAATAATAAATATAAAAGGATAAACACATAATTACTTTAAAAAAATGACTCTTTAATTGTAGGGCTGCAGAATTAATGAAAATGTTATCAAAACTTCAATATGGACAATTGCAATATACAAATCACAGTATACACAGTTGTCTGTTAAGGTCAAATATGTCAAAATATCATTTCAAATGAAGTATTGTGGTGCTGCCGTGAAGCTATTCTACAGACTTAATATACATTTTTTATATAATATATGATTTAATGATAATATGAATAATGTTTCAAGAATCGTCCTTCCCTCAAATTGTATCGCATTTGCAATATCTCTCAAAATAATCGCAGATTATTATATCTTACTCCAAATTGTACAACCTTAATTAATTGGGTTTACTAGAGTTCAGGGAGAAATGGAGGCACTTCCTCTAAACACTGACTGACTGCAAACGCCCACACAATCTGAAAGGCTATGTGAGAAATGAAAATGATAACACATACGATTTAATATCACAGAGCGTCATGATGGACAGTCCGGGGACAAAAAAGCATTGTCTCTTCCACAGAGCACTGCGGAGATAAACACACATTTCAAATACTTCATTTAAATACACCAAATTCAATTATGATATTAACAGTGATATCATTATCATGGGAACATTTCAGCTATGCAGGACAAATAAACTGCTTCTGCCACACTTTGTCTTTACTGCCTTTTGACTGACCTTTATTATAATGTTAGGTGTCAGTTCTTAACCCAAGGGCATTTGAGAAAACACACACAAAAACTGTTTGTGGCGAACAATGGAAGACGAGTATAGAGCCGTAATAAAGTCGCCTGAGTCACACTAGTTGTTTGGTCTTTTATTAGTCTTCTTTTATTAAATCTTCAGTCCTTGAACAAGCTTTTAATGGATATCTGTCAAGCAGTAATGCCTTTTCAAAATGTGTTAAAGTGCAATCCCTAAAGGGTCAGAAGAATAATAAAATGTGTTGACTGCCGTCAGCTAAGAGCTCTCAATGTCAACCTTTCCAGAGCACCAAAACTGCTTTCTCTTGAATAAAATAATTGAATGTAAAAAAGTTAAAAACAAACCTCGAATCAAAGTATTAAAGCATTTTTCTCAAACTCAGTATCAGTAACCCTGAAACAAAATACAACAAGTCAAAAACGAAATATGTCAAGATTGTTAAAAGTGTATCTGAAGAGGAAGATAACTTTATGAAGATACTTCCCTTTACCTTAGTGAAAAGGTTAGCCAATCGTTAGCTTGTCTTTTAAAATACTTTAGTGTCTATTAGAGACTTTAAATCAATGATTATAACTCGTGGACTGAATTTGCAGTTATATGATGAAAGTCAGTACAGGTCCCGCTGATGCTTAAACATTTTTGAAAGGCATCAAATTCATTAAAAAATAAGGCCTTAATTGTTGTTAAAATGTCTTAAATCAACTTCCAACATAGTACCTGCAAAACAGAAGTCTGTGAATATTTTGTGTGACATTACATTAATTTATTTTTGAATAATATCTGTTTTTCAATATCTTGCTGCAATGTAGCAAATGTCTCTTGCATTAAAGATGTTAATGTCATGCAGCTCAGGATAGCAGTTCAATCAGGAGAGACGTGATGTATGAAATACACGTTTATTACCGGGACACATAATATGAATGAAATAGTGATTGACAGATTATAACGAGTGAATGGAATGGTGTTTGGCGATTAGGCCCCGGTTTGCAGGATGATCATTCAGGAGGGGAAAAACCGCTCCGATGAAACCCCCCGGGGTCTAGACACTGGTGGTGGTGATAAGTAGTTCGGTCTGGTCTGAAGGGGGAAGGTTTTAGCTTGGCCCTGTATTAGGAGACAGGAGGCGAAGGGGTGGAGGAGGGTTGCGCGTTGTCACCTGAAATGACAGCTGACGGAGAGGGAAGAGCAGATTTAAAGGGGTTAGCGGGTGCAATGATAGGCTTGTGAAGATAGGGGGAAGTGATTGGTTAGCTGGGGAGTGACGCCCCCGATCACTCGGCGCGTCCACATTCCAGTATGACGTGTAACAGACAGAGGATATTGGTCTTCCTGCTTGTACTTGCGCTGAGCTTCATTACAATTGTAGTTATTGTCCTGTATTTCATTTAAACAATTGTAAATCCAACATGTCTGAAGGATGTCTCTTTTAAACTCCATTGTGATTATTTATTACCCATAATATAAACTATTGATGTATCATTATGTGTAGTGTTTTGGATTTATATAATAACCAAAACTGAATGTTCTCAGTTTGTGTCCATACATTACATACTTCATCTCTGAGCCATTAAACATGCATATGATCCAGCTACAAAAACAAGGTCTTAAAATGTAATGACTCATCGTTAATCAGGGAATGGATTTTATATGATCTCATGAGTTCAGATGTCTTCTAACACGTTATTACTTTATTTTAAGTTATGTATGTTATCTCCTACTAAAAGCCTTCTACAGTAATAGTGCGAGGACGCTGCCAAATATTAAAATGCGTGGCTATTGGCTCCAGTATTTCACTTCTGTCAGCACAAACATTGTGGGCGTACACACACACACACACACACACACACACACACACACACACACACACACACACGCCAACTTCCACCGGCCCTGTTTCTCACACGTTACGATGCACTCATTCAATCATATGTATTCAGGGATGCAAACTTGTCACCTTTCGGCGAAATTCGCCATTTTGAACCCAAAATAGGTCGTTTGTGTGATTCATGTAGATCTGCAATACAAATATTTTTGGGGTATGGGGGGGGGTCTGGGACCCGGAGTAATCTGCAGCCGCGAGCTGTTATGTGCCATCATGACACGCATGGTGTTCTTTTTTTATATATTATAATGAAGCGCGAGCTGTGTGCTCGAGTCTTCCTGTCGGCTCTGCTCGTGGCTCATAGCCTTCATGGCTCTGCTGCTCCGCGATGATGGTCTAGCTTCAACAACTACATTACCTACGGGTGCGTTCGTTAATATTAACTGTGTGGTCCGGAGTCACTGTGGCACAGACTGGACCGCTGGTGAACAGCTGTTAGAACGGGCCGTTCAGGTGTTCAGAGCAGAGCTCCCTGTCGGAGCGCAGAGCGTGATGTGCACTGAAAAGTGTTTCTGTCGCAATATTATCGTTGAGCTAGCTAGCTAGCATTCTTTCACACACAGTGATGTCACAAGCTACCCACAATGCAACGCGCGCCATATATATAAATACGCCATTTTTCTGGAGGTGCAAATATCCTGGAGGTGCTAATATAAACAGCTAGCATACTTGCCAACCTTGAGAACTCAGAAATCGGGAGCATTTCAAAACCACCGCGGGGGGGGGGGAGCTGTATTAGATTAACATTAACATGCTTATTGTAGTTGTAAGTGCAATGTCTTGCAGCCTGTAGCACCATCCTTGATGGAGCATATGTGGGCTGGACCTGTATTTTACAGGAGAGGAGTGAGCAGAGGGTCGTGTTGTCGATTCTTGTTCTGTTTTATGTGACTATCTGCCTCACCCTCTCAGACTTTCAGTTGCGCACGCTACTAAAGAGACGCGCTACCATGGAAACCAAACAATGGTGTAGCTGTATTAAAGTCCGAGTGGAAAGAGTCCTGAGTAAATCTGATTTTGTCAGAAATCGGGAGAAATGCGGGAGAAATATGACCCCGGGAGGAAACCGGGAGAGGGCAATGAAATCGGGAGTCTCCCACGAAAATCGGGAGGGTTGGCAAGTATGAGCCAGGCAGAGCGCACTAGGTTTTTTTTCTGAATTAACGACCGAAGAAATCGCTGCATGTCTTCGGATTACATCTCTGGACTTGAGGGGTGTGCTCTAGGTCGGTACCAGCGTAAACTAGAGCTGTGTGCTGACTGCCTGCAGATGTATGGAAAAACGACTCTCGAAAGTGGCCTTCGGTCGATTTTGGCAGCATCTACGTCTATCTTCTGGAAACCCCACTTGTCACAATAATATTATCATGCCAATGCATATATGTGGTATTTTAGAGTTGACTATATTGATTAAGGCAATAGACTATGATATTCTGCTTGCACCTCGTGTGAAATGGCGGATACCGAAGTACGGTGTCGCCCTCGGCCCAAAACCCGTATGTGTGTGTGAAAGAATACATTTTCACTATCTGCTAACGTTAGCTTTAGCCTTAGTTTTCTAATGGTTTTTTTCATAGGCTATAAACGGAGGTGGTATAAGTATAGATCTTGTACTTGAGTAGAAGTACTCAGATCTTGTACTAGAGTAAAAGTAGAAGTACTCAGATCTTGTACGTGAGTAAAAGTAGAAGTACTCAGATCTTGTACTAGAGTAAAAGTAGAAGTACTCAGATCTTGTACTTGAGTAAAAGTAGAAGTACTCAGATCTTGTACTTGAGTAAAAGTAGAAGTACTCAAATCTTGTACTTCCGTAAAAGTAGAAGTACTCAGGTCTTGTACTTGAGTAAAAGTAGAAGGACCAGAATGTAGGAACAATCCTGCGATCAAAATG